CCACACACACACTACACACACACAGACACACACACATACAGACACACCACAGACACACACACCACACACACTACACACACACAGACACACACACATACAGACACACCACAGACACACACACCACACGCACTACACACACACACCACACAAATACAGACACACACCACACACAAACCACACACACAGACACATACCATACACAGACACACATCACACCACACACATACACACCACAGACACACACAGATACCATACACACACCACACACACACACCATACACACACACACCCCATACACGAAACACAACACACAGGCACATACACACAGATACACACACACCATACAAACAGACACAACACACAGAGAGACACACACCACACACACTACACACACACACATACACCACACAAATACAGACACACACCACACACACACAGAGACTCACACACCAGACGCACACACCACACATACACCACACACAGACACATAGACACCACACAGACACATACACACACACACACCACTCAGACACGCACAGACACACATACCCCACACACGCCACTCATACACCATACACACAGTGAGAAACACACCACACATATACCACACACACAGACACCCAGACACACTCACCACACACACACACATCACACACACACCATGCACCACACAGACACACACACAGGAACACACCACACACAACACACAGATGCATACACACACAAACACACACAGAGACACACACACTCCAGACATACACCACACACAGAGACACACACACATCACACCGAGCCACACACACCACACACACTGACACACACCCCCCACATATACACAGATACATACACACACACAAACACACCCCACACACAGACACACACGCACACCACACATAGGCACACGCACACAGTCTGAACTTATTTAAGAATCTGCAAATCACGCTAGCTACAGAGGGGGAAGTACGCTACTTCACTTTACCTCACGTGAAATTTAAGTGTTCACCAAGTTCCAAAGCAGTATACATATAAATAATAGGAAACAAACTTAAAAGTAAACAAAGGCTGCTCCTGCATCTCCTGGCCCTTGTTATTTCCCAGAGACCACAACATTTTAGGGTTCACTTTTCACTGAGCGTCAAGAAATGGTTTTCCGGAAGCATGAATTCCACCTCTTTCATGAGAGAAAAATATCTCAGCACTCCTTGACTAAAAAACATAAACACAAATAGAGCCAATCCATTAATTCATGACCTTTTGTAGGACTTTTTAAAAACAGATGTATCTTTAGGCACAGTGACTTCTCACTCACCTTTTCATTTTGATTGTTTAAAAAAGACAGAAAATGAAACCCTTTGGGTCCTCTGCCCACTGCATTCCTGTTCATCGATGTTGTCCAGTCTCTGGGGCAGATCGTTCAAAGATCTCTTTTGAAAATGCAGTTCCTCACGTAACAGCCTAGGGACTGTCTAGAAGTCAATCACATATGACCTAGGGGCCCTCTGTCCTCACCACCAAGCGTGCCAGTGGCCCAGTTGGTGCAGAAACAAGAGTTACCACCGCAGCATGGATGAGCGCAGGATTCTGAAATGTGCTTTCATCCCCCACCTCCACCTCTCCCAGGAGAACACTTCACAGCTGCATTCGTCACCACCAGGGAGTCTAACTCACAAGGAAACACCAGTTTCCCTAAGCATTTAACTGACTTGAAGAACTTACACACAAAACTGCTTGTGTTGAGCAAAATCTAACTGAAAACACATTTACTTAAAATTCTCAGCAAGACTTCAAGCACTGGGGGGGTGGGGGTGGCATTCAGACCAAGCAGCTTCTAAAATCATAAGACACGGTCCTCCATCACTTCACACATTAATGGGATGTTGAAAGTGTGTGACGTTGGAGACCTACACTAAGTTATGTATTTAGAGAGCAGCCGTTTGCCTAATTACACCCAGATGACTACTTCCCAGTCTCTTGAGCTGAATAATCATCATTACCCGTCTCGTCTCACCGCCTATGATATGCGGTAATTAAAAATGCAATGGATTTGTCACTCAGACCAAATACCGGACTATGTTTCTCCAAGACCGTCTGAGCCTCAAAGGAGACAGAAAAAAACAATGAGGTCTGCAATCTTACCTTCTCTGCCAAGGACACTCCTCCAGCATTCTAACGCCTGACCTTCCCAACCTTCTCTTTAGCCTGAAAATATGATTGTATCAAAAATGAACTACTTTGATTTCTTGATGAGAAACTGACTTTGTGATTGCTGGTTTCAGGATTAGGAAACTCTGTGAACACAGGACTACGCCGGTCCGGCAGCTGAGAACCCCTCCTCTGAAATAGTAAACCCAGGCAGAGCGGAACGAGCTCACCTCCCGAGAAAGCTGGCTCATGAAAACACAGAGCTACTGTGGCAGTCTTTTCACTACTCTCCACACACTTTGAAAAAGTCCTCCTTTAAAAAAAGCGACTCTGTTTGCTGTACTTTTGCAGTGATCCGGTATCGTTCCAGGCATAGTTCTGCGGGCTAAATTCTAGGAATCCACCAACAACCTTCAGAATCCCCCGATAAGAAATGGCAGTTGCATTTCATTTATGGCACCTTTTAATGGGTGGATAAATTGGAGCATAAGAAATTATTTAAACAAGATTGCCATTCTGACAGCTGAACTGATGGAGAAGAAAACCCAAAAGACCTGTCTCCCTTTCGCATTTACCTCACCTCCCCAAGCCATTCCCTTGTTTTCTGTAGAACTCTATCAGCAGGGTAGAGGGGGGAAGAAGATGCTGACCATGTTTCTGAAAAATAGTGGCTGAAACTTTAATGTAAACTTCACAGAAACACATTGGAAGCCCACAGGCGGATGATGCAGGAAAGCATGGTGACCTGCTGATTCTGTCCTGAGGCCTCCCACCTTCTCCTGCATCACACAATCCTTCACGGCCGTTCTTTCCCCCAAGACATCAAACCGCCTCTGACTACCCTGAATCCCTGTGACCTGCGAGTTCCACTGAAGTCCACACACAGAGGGAAGGACTTTGACTTCTCAGTTCAAACTTCCTTTCACTTTAAAAAAAAAAAAAGTTGTGCAATATCCCCCACTCTCCGGCATTGATAACCAGTAAGCATATTTGCAATTTCACAGGATTTGCCCAATGCAAAAAACATTTTTAAATTATCTACTTCTTGCTTGGAACAGTCTTACGATTCAAGAATTGAATCTTAGAGTAGCGTTTCAGGCACTGTCCTGTGGAGAGGGGGAGTAGGAGGTGGGTCCAGTTGAAACCACGCTTGGGAAGGAGGTAGCCCTCCTCTCCTGCTTGGTGGCTGCCCCCTGATAGGACACTTTGGAGCAATGTCTTATTTCATGGTATCTAGAAAATAAAAAAGGAAAATATAGTTTCTTCTCCTTAACCAAGAGAGCCCATCCCAATCCCCTAATCCTCCTTAAAAATATCCAAACAGGCCGGGCGCAGTGGCTCACGCCTATAATCCCAGCACTTTGGGAGGCCGAGGTGGGTTGATCACAGTCAGTAGATTGAGACAATCCTGGCTAACACGGTGAAACCCCGTCTCTACTAAAAATAGAAAAATTAGCTGGGCGTGGTGGCAGGCGCCTGTAGTCCCAGCTACTTGGGAGGCTGAGGCAGGAGAATGGCGGGAACCCGGGAGGCGGAGCTTGCAGTGAGCTGAGATCCGGCCACTGCACTCCAGCCTGGGCAACAGAGACAGACTCCGTCTCAAAGAAAAAATATATATATAAAATATATACATTTATATTTTATATTTATGTATTACATATACACATATTATATATTTTATATATATTATATATTTATATATTATATATGTGTATATATACATATATTATATGTTTATATATAATATGTATTTTATATATATATTTTATATATATATCCAAACAGCTCTTGTAGGTGCTTATGGTCTAATACAGAAAACTTGAAACACTGCAACATTGCGCTGGACTGAAAGTCTGGGAGGAGCCCTTTCACATCTCAACACTAGGCCTGGAAAATCCTTGTTGTAAATGGACAGCTTAGATTCTGCCCAACAGTCAGGATTGTAAAGTTTATTCACATGCACAGTGGTCTCGAAAGCACTTCTGTGTAATTAGGAGTGATTGTACTTACCGGTCAAATCTGACCAATAGATTTAATTCTCCAGAACCCAGTCAATATATTTCCCAAGGCACGATCATAAATACCATAAACCATTGTGTTCAAATCATAGTAATTTTCAAGATACAGGATGAATAAAATTCAAAATTGCAAGCCTACTTTCCAAAAAAATTTAGGTCTAACTATTCTTACTCTCATTCCCTGCTCTAGAACAGAAAAAGTGTACAATAGTAGAAAAATTAATATAGAAACTGCTGCATCCACTGTTTCTGGGTAATTTTTAAAAATTGTTGGAGTGCTTTATGCTTGAGGCCTCGTAAGAGATTTAAGATAAAACAAACACACAAATAGTCTGTAAACACCAGCCTTAAAAACACCCATGTAGGCAGAAGGACACAAAATCACAGGACATTTTTAAAAGGTGGTAGGAGTGGGGGGCTTTGAAAAGATCTGCAGGAAACAGACAGTGGTTGAAATGGCCGTATTTCCAGGCCACCCCAGGCTCCTCGTCCCCTGCTCCTGACTTGAATTGAGCTGGTGGACTCCCTCCCCTTCTCCATATCTGTGATCCAGCTTCCTGCTCACCCGCCCACAGCCCTCAAGTAGCCCGACTACAATTTCCCTTTGGCCTCTCTCCCACTACACTCCAGACAAATCCATCTGTATTCGCACCAGTAAACGTCCTCTTGCCAATTGAACCATTGATAAAACTACGTTACGACAACCTCCCTTGGAATGAGAATGAGCAACTCCTGAGTGACCTCATGGGAGGTGCCGGCCACGCTCTGCACAGCTCCAACTTCATTCCTCGATTTAGCAGACAGTTACCGAATATCCTTTTACACAGGCTGAGCTTGCCAAGATGAATGCACCGTGCCGCACCCGCAGAGGGAGTACAGTCCAGTCAAGGGGTGGGCTGGACACCAGAGCTCCTGGGGCGAACCAGCCTCACTAATAGTTGTTGTTTTCAGGTTTTTAAAAAATTAGCCATTTTCAATACCATTCAGGACATAGGCATGGGCAAAGACTTCATGACTAAAACACCAAAAGCAATGGCAACAAAAGCCAAAATTGACAAATGGGACCTAACTAAACTAAAGAGCTTCTGCACAGCAAAAGAAACTATCATCAGAGTGAGCAGGCAATCGACAGAATGGGAGAAAACTTTTACAATCTACCCATCTGACAAAGGGCTAATACCCAGAATCTACAAAGAACTTAAACAAATTTATAAGAAAAAAATCAAACAACCCCATCAAAAAGTGGGGAAAGGATATGAACAGACACTTCTCAAAAGAATACATTCATGTGGCCAAAAACATATGAAAAAAAGCTCATTATCCCTGGTCATTAGAGAAATGCAAATCAAAATCACAATGAGATACCATCTCACACCAGTTAGAATGGCGATCATTAAAAAGTCAGGAAACAACAGATGCTGGAGAGGACATGGATACATAGGAATGTTTTACACTGTTGGTGGGAGTGTAAATTAGTCCAACCATTGTCGAAGACAGTGTGGTGATTCCTCAAGGACCTACAACCAGAAATACCATTTGACCCAGCCATTCCATTACTGGGTATATACCCAAGGATTATAAATCATTCTATTATAAAGACACATGCACACGTATGTTTATTGCAGCACTATTCACGATAGCAAAGACTTGGAACCAACCCAAATGCCTATCAATGATAGACTAGATAAAGAAAATGTGGCACATATACACCATGGAACACTATGCAGCCATAAAATAGGACGAGTTCATGTCCTTTGCAGGGACATGGATGAAGCTGGAAACCATCATTCTCAGCAAACTAACACAGGAACAGAAAATCAAACACCGCATGTTCTCACTCATAAGTGGGAGTTGAACAATGAGAACACATGGACACAGGGAGGGGAACATCACACACAGGGGCCTGTTGGGGGTGGGGGGCTAGGGGAGAGATAGCATTAGGAGAAATATCTAATGTAGTTGATGTTTTGATGGGTGCAGTAAACCACCATGGCATGTGTATACCTATGTAACAAACCTGCACGTTCTGCACATGTATCCCAGAACTTAAAGTATAAGAATTTTTAAAATAGCCATTTTAGTGGGTTTCTTCCTGTGTGTGTCTCTGAAATCCTCCTCTCTTTTCTCTCATATGGACATCAGTCACTGGATTTAGGATTCATCCTAAATTCAGGATGAGTCATCTTAAGATCTTCGATTACATCTGCAAAGGTTCTAATTCCAAATAGTCACTCTCTGAAGTCTCAGGTGGGTGTGAACCTTTGGAGAACATAAGTCAACCCACTGAGTAGGAAGTGGAAGTTGAGGTTCCCTTTTTTCCACATGAATATCCAGTTCCAGCAAGATTTCTGAAAATAACTTACTTTCTGCCACGATGCTCAAATATGCTTTATTCTCACCAAATTTTGGTCTGCTGGTTCTACCAATCACTGAAAGAGAAATGTTGAAGCCATGGAATTGTCTTTGTGGATTTTGTCTATTTCTCCACCAGTTAGGTCATTTTCTTCATGTATTTTGAACCTCTGCTATCAGGTGCACACATATAGAATTACTGTCAGTTTTTCCCTGTTCTTCATTTGGATAATTTCTATTGTCCTGCATCCAAAGGCACTATTCTTTTCTTCCGTCATATCCAAGCTGTTGCAAGCCAGTCCGGTAAATTTTTTTATTTCCCATATTATATTTCTCAGTTTCAGAATTTGTGTTTTATTCTTTTTAATAGTTTGGATTTTTTTTTTTTTGTTAAAATCCCCAGCCATTCACCATTTTGTTTCTCTTTTGCTTCAAGTCTCTGAAATATCAGCTGCTTTAAGTCCTTATCTGCTCATTCCCACATTCCCACCACATCCAGGTGGGTCTCCACTGACCTTTTCCCCTCCTGGTTATGGTGAACATCTCCCTGTTTCTTTTCACCTCTAGCGATTGTTTTGATCGTGCATTTAACATTATAGATGCCATCCTGCTGAAATGCTGGACTCTGGCATTGGAGCTGTGTGTGTCTCTGAAGTCCTTCTCTTTTTTCTCTCATATGGACATCAGTCAGATGTAAGGGCTGCTGAGTTTTGCTTGGTGGGCGGTGAATTTATTGGTGGGACTGGCTGACCTTTGCAGGCTTCCATGCAAGATTAGCTGGAGAAGTCCCCG